CCTTATTACTTTAAAAAACGGACTTCACAAAAATTAGAGAAAAAATACAAAGATATTAAACACTCTACATTTATGCTTCCGAGCGTTTGGTGGATGAACGATCCCCCTCGCCATCAAAGCCCCAATAATGTATGGCTGTTTTACTGACAATAAATTCAAGGAGCTTTCCTACTCATGCGGTGTTTCTTTTCTAACCGCTTTGGGGCATGAACGCAAGAAGATCGAATACAGCTATCACACTGAATGTAAATTCTTACTACGTTTCACCAACTTGCTCTATCTGCTTTTCAGTCTAAATGGAGTTCTTAATCATTTCTTTGCATTTACAGAAAACGTGTCTATATATGTAAATAAATAAATAAATCCCACTTCCCCTAAAAAGATGCATAAAACAGTCAGTATAGTTTTATTTATCCGAGATCAGTATCTTCAAAGCGTCAGTTCTGCCAATTTTTTCTCTATTATTAAATTTATTTATTTTTAATCACTAAAATTCTAAAAATATACATTAAAAATGATAACACACTATGAAAAAGAAATTCAGGTCTTGAAGTATCATTTTGAAAATATCAAATACCTTTTCTGCCAAAGAAAAAAGAGAAAATTGAACATTAACAAAACAAAACGCATTCTAAAGTCTGAAACAACTTTTATTTACTCTTTGAAAATCTATTCAAACATTCATTTAATACATGTTTTTATACAGGATAGATTTTTCAGTATACAATTATTTATACCAAGAAAATTAACGTTTCAAAATTCGTATCACAAATCTTTTAGCCCTGATTTGAAGCTTCTGACAAAGATGAAAAAGGATACCAATTATTGTATCGAAAAAATCATACACAGCAATTAAAGATATTCCAAGCCATATTCCTATGTAGCCTCCTATATTACTCCAAAACTCCACATTCTGAAAATACACATAAATATATACGTTTCAAATGTTGCGTATTATAGTTAGAACTGGTCCTGAACTCACATGCTTATGTTTTGACAAAGAATTCTTTCTTACACCAAATGACCAAATTGTTAGTCATCGAAATGTTATAGTTGTTTTAAACACAATGGTAATCAAAAAAAAAAAATGCACAGCAATTTAAGACTCCAGAAATTATGTTTTAAACTATAGGGTAAAATTTCATTCTATACTATTTTATCACGTTTCATTCATTATATTTCGTTATATAATATCATTGTACTTAATTTTAAGGAATGTAAGTTCAATATAGAAATTGTGTTTATTTGAGTACAAAATTAAGTTTAATACAAAATTTTATACTATACAAAATTTGAGCAAAATCGATAGTATAGTTCTTTAGAAAACGAATTTTAAAATTTGATTTTTCAAGTACTTTTTCAACAATTAAGCTCAAAGTTTGGATTTTGCCATATTAAATTGCATTCTTTAAAATTACGTAAAAAACTGTACAATTCTGAAATGTTTCTACTTTTATTGAATAAAATGATGAAATATAATGAAAGAGTATTACAAATAAATCTTGGGTGGAATTATTTTGTATAAATAAGTTTCAGAAATCTGTGCAAAAAAGCTTTAATTCATTTCAAAGTTCTCGAGATATTGCGAAATTCTCTAAAAATATATTTCAGCCACAAAGTTTCAGTCACTCTTCCATCTAATAAGTTTACTGTAAAGAACATTTTTTTATACTTACGCTTTTTGAAACCATTTATAACTAGTATTGTTAAAAAATATGAATAAAAAACTATACGGTTGTTTACCATTTAAACGTAGTATGGTTTCAAAACCGTCAAAAGAAATTTAACTGGACATTGAAGATAGTTTAGCAGTTTATATAACAGACAGTTTTTTTTTTTGGTTTAAGTAATTTCTTAGAACAGTTGACCTAAACTGACAGAAGGCAGGAAAAATTCACTTTGGAATGAAACTTGGTATATAACATACCAAGTTGGTATATAATATCGAAACAATGAAGCTCCCGCAGATGGCCCTTTTCTTCTAAACCTTACAGAAAACGTGCTACGTTACCATTTTTTATCTATTTGTAATAAAATTACTAATATGTTCTCTCGTTTTGGTTTAAAAGTCTAATATAGGCCTGTTAAAAAATTTAAATTTAAGTCTCTTAGATATCCTTCTATTTTTGGTAATCACTGGGGAATTTACCATATGTATTGTCATGATAACCATTGCTACATCAGACAAACTCAATGCGCATTAAAATGTAAACTTATGGAACACGATACATATCTCCGTAATCACGAATGCGAGAAATCATCAATTGCTGCATGTTGTTGGAATATTTTCTTGACGCCAGAGCGCTTTTATGACTAAATTTAATGGTAGCTTGATTGAACAAAAAAGATTCAAGATATCAAAAATGGTATAAAAATAGTGCATTTATGTACTATGAGTACATAAGTACATAATGACATAAAAGACATATATAGTACATAGTATATAGACATATATAATACATATATCGACATATATAGTACAAAAGTCATCTATAGTAGTAGACATCTATATTATGAGTACATAAAAGACATATATAGAGTAACAAAAAAAAATATTTACCTCAACTTTTGGTCTATAAGAATAAGTTGTGGTGGGCATCCCATTCAAATTAATAATCACAGTTATATTATGACTGAAAAAAATGCACATAAAGTTTTAAATTTTAACCTAAAAAATTCTTGGTAAGTGTTAAACAAACGATATGATTAAAAACAGGGAATTAAGAAGATTCAAGATTTTGACGATGCAGCTTATTACTAAATATTTTTGGAAGAAAAAATATCATAAGCGCTGTTTTGAAAAAAAAATTCATTAATTACAAAAATTATAAAGATGGAAAAAGTAAACATTTGTCGAACACTCGATCATATGCGGCCATTTTCAAGACTCGTGAATGATCGTCTGTGAGTCTTGAAAATGGGTGCCTACGATTTAGCCCATGAACGGTTCCCACTTTTCCATTTTTGTAATTTTGGAAGCAATTCAAGTGTTTCGTTTAATATATTTCATATACAATTTTATATACAGACATTCTGCTTTACATTCTTTTGATTATATCTTGTACAAGTGCTTTTCCCTCCTTGAATTAATATTTCTTCCCCCATGACAAATTTCAAGTTATAGTCTTTATGCCTAAAACTTAGTCGACTTGTAAGTTTTTTTCTGCATGTTTAAAAGTAATTCTCGAATTTATAATCGAAAGTTAAATTTTCACATTTTATCGTACGATCTGTACATTTTTCAGCTTACTTTCATAGTTTCAAGATTTAATTTTCGTATCTTCAAGATAAGATTTATAACTTTAGACAAATAAAAATATTTCTTTAAGCTGAATAAAGACCATCATTATCGTTATTTTTTAAACGTAGAATAAAAACGTTAAATAAAAACGTAGAATACTAAATTTTTTCGAGTCCTATTTTTTAAAATAAAAAAATCAAAATTATGCTTTTTTTCCTTGATTGAGATCGATTTGAGAGGCCTAAAATTTGTTTAGGAATATTTTGTTTAAAAGCAACTTTTATTTCATGGCTCAATACAAAATAATAAAGTTTTTGAGAAAATAATAATAGGAGCTCTATAAACAGTTTTAAAATACTTAAATATTGGGTGGTAGATGTGATTTTTTAGGTACGTGTTCTATTTAGGATTCCGAGTTTTTTAAAAGTCTTCCCTTTGACATATGAATAAAACTACCACAGTTACTCTTTTTCGTTTTTCCTTTTTGAAATTTGATTATGGTTCGCTGTCAAACTACAGCTATCTTTGATGACATCGTAGTCGGAAAACAAACCGGTTGGGGAACGGTTATCCGGGCATTATATACTTTCTAAGACATCTACTAAAAGAACTCTTACAAGCAGAGAGTGTTCTAGACAAATCGACAAAATATGAAAATTCTTAATCTAAGTTTTAAACTTTAGAGTATTTTGGAAAGTTTAAAATTATTATCTGTCTTACATTAGGTTTGATTTTTGTTTCTTCTGTTTGTTATCTTTCGAATGTGCATTACAGTTGCCCTGAAAAAAACAGATAAATGAAACACCGTTAATAAAAATTTAATTCAAAAGCTGAAATTCAGAAAGAAAATACAAAATAAAGAGCACCAAGAAAAAAGCTAAAAAATTATGCCCTACAAAAATTATGAAATTATGCCCTACTGTCTATTGCAAAATATTTCAATACATTAAGTCTGCCCTCTGTAAACTATTCTTAATGCACGGTAAAGCTTTAAATCATATTATCCTACAAATTATTTGCAACCTTAAGAAAATGCAAAATTGAACTAGACTGTCGTACTTTTTGCACGAGAATGCTCAATATTATAACTCAACTTGAGTTGTAATGTGGTCCAATTCAACACCTTATTAAAACTGGAGCAACTTTTCGTCGTGTGGCTCGAAATACCAGTATTTAAATTAAAGGTTGAACCGATATCTTTAATGGTATGGAAACTAAAATGTTTATTATGTACGATTAAAGAAGTAAAATTCGAACTAAAAGAACAAAAAAATTGCAAAAATAAGGAAAAATTGCTCTGTTGATAGCTCCCTTTATTTAACTATTGAGACCTGATTTTCCAGATTGCTGCACAAACAGTCAAATTCTGCGAGTTCCGAATCCATAAAAAAGTATTTATTTAGACAATTAGTACAATTGTTTGCCAGATTTGCATTAAAATATTGTTTACATCTTGAACCTGTAAATACCTTGAACCTTGTTTATATCTTGAACCTATAAATACCTTGAACCTTGTTTATATATTGAACCTTTATTCTTTCATTCGATCAAAGGTTATTCAGGTTTTTTTTTATTTTGCGCTATGTACTCCTTGAAAGACAAATAAAAAACAAATTTTTTTAAAATTTTTCATAAAACCTTGCATTTGTATTTCTCTTATAATTAATATCAGTAAACAATTACTGTAATTAGAAACACTGTTATTTGAATTCTTTAAAACTAATTACTCATTTAATTTTGTTAATGTTTATCAAATGATTTAAAACTCTGTAGTAGGTGTTTTTAATATTAAATAAAGTTTTGTGTTAAAACCTAAACTTGCCTCGTTTTGCACATCTTCTAGATCTTTTATCACTTCGTACGATTCTTCGCTGAAAATGAAACAAACGAAATCATATATATTTACGAAAAAAGATCAAGAACAAAAAAAAATGATTTTAATTCTAAGAAACTGTAACTTAATTTTTAAATAAAATTATTTTTCAACAGTTTAGTCTGGCGTATTTTTTACTGTTACTCAGGCACTAGAAGAAGCATGTAACGAGATAAAATAATTAACTTCAAAAATTTTATCAGTGATCAATCACAGTAAGCAAAATAAATGAATAATTAGAGAAAGAAAATACCTGATTAACTTTTTTTCTCGATCTTAAATTATGGGTGTAGCTACGGTATGTAATATTCAGTAACAATTCTTCAGTGAAGATATGCTGTCTATTATTTTAGTCACTTTATGCTAGTTTCTTTTTGTGTGTGTTTTGATCATCTCCGGAACTAGTGAAGCGAATAACTTTTTGGTCAAAATAATAACATTTCTTTATCCAAAGAAAATTTTAAGGTAAATTAAAAGGTAACGAAATATTCTTTTTTACAATTATTTATTACTTTTGTACTATCGAATTTTCTAATACTCAAATATTTTTAGAATATAGTTTTTAGAATATAGTATAACAAATTTTTTCACCAATTTAATCTACACAATTTTAAAAACCACAATCTAAAATTTGAAGTTGCTCATTGAATTGGGAGTAGGTTGAATAGTTGTTGAGAAATAAATGGCTAAAAATATAACTTCATAAAGATGGCAAAATATGCAAAAAGGGAAATTAAGATTAAGGGACGGAAGCTTTAGACTGTTTTTCATCCACTATTGGAACATGCTTTCAATATTGCAGCTATTTTGTGCGTTGAAAGCATATTGTTTGAGGAAACGAATCCTATGTCAATTCAAAGTGCATCTAATGTCGTGACTTAATTTATATCCTAAATTAATTAATTCACAAACTGAAATATTTAAATTTAGGCTCTCTTAGTATTAAGATTGAATGCTAAAACATAGAAAATCCGACCATTTTATCAAAAGTTATTAAGGTTTTTCTTTTTTTTTTTTGATGAACAAATTTTTAATTATTTTTAACTTAGGCTGTTTTTCTAATTTTTTTTTAACTTTCTTACCTTTTACTTTATGATTACCTATTGTATGATCTGGGCAGTTCTGTTTTACTAATTATTTTGAATACCTTCTGTGATTATGTCATTTCTCGAATTTTCTCGCGTCATTTCTCGAGACTTCTGTTTGTCTCAACCATTTTAATTGTATTTATTTAATTATTTTAACATGTTTACAATTGATTTTTTTTTATCCAAGTATTTTGCTTGGTTCTGTAATACTGATTCTGTCTATTTGAAGAAAAAAATGCCTATCGTAGCTTGTAGGAGCTTCTGGTGGGAGGTTATGATTTTCATACAAATCAAAGCCTTAGCATAACCAATATTAAAACTGTGCCTTACCTAACGGCAACCAGGCATGAAGTCAACTGACAACACGTCACAATTGTTATGGATGTAAATTAAATTATGTTTAATGGATTTATATTTTGTTGTTTTAAATTATTTTGCATTTCAGCATTTGAGGTAATATTTTAAATTTAATAGTTGCCAGGGTAGGACCACCAGGGACTAAGGCAGGGGGTTGTCGATGGGAACCTGCGTCTTCTTTCCTGAGGGTCCTGTCACAGCGACGAGTTAAATTTCTCCATGTGCCACTTCCTGGGGTGGGCCAGGTGTTTCAGCTTCTTAAGGTATTGCTCCTTTATGTTCTATGCTTAAACTCTAAAAAGATTATTTTCCTTGTTTGGCACGTGTATCCTCTCACCAAGATGATCCCTTTTGTGTTCCTTTTTCGGTTTCTATTTGAAAATTCATTTACAAAATCCTATAGAAAAACACTCCTCTATTTATTTAGATAGCAGCTTCAAGAAGCAAAAATCTATAGATGTTCGTGAAAAATTTTGCAAAAAACACAACGCTGTTATTTTGACTAAAATGTTAGTATTTATCGGTGTATGAATTGTTTCCGAAAAGGAGGGGATAAAGTCCAATACCTCAAGAAGAGTGTTTTAGATTTGTGATTGCATCAGATCAACAAATCGGAAAGTGTGAAATATTTTCAGAAAATAAGTTGTTGTGGGGGAAAGTTTAATATATACTTGTTGACTTTCTGCGGTAATCAAACTAAAGATCATAAGAGGAAGATCTAACCACCATGCAAAAGGCTCACCCATCAGAGCAAGAGCCAGCGTCATCCGATAAATACATACGCTGAAACAGTAGAAGGCATTAACCGATTCATCGCAGTTGAAAAGTCGATGAATGTATTGCTAGAAATGAAATGGAGATGTGGCTGCGCAATCAAGGAAATATCTTAGTAACAGTTTGGTTGTGGCTAAGGTTGCAGCATGAGAAATTTCTTTTAGGTCTTAACATTTCAAAACGCTCTATAATGGGGACCTCAGTTAGTTCCCCTGGAGATGAATTTACAGTGACTTTCTTGACTTTGAAATGTCTTTTCTGTCGTGGCTCCTGAATAATTGCCTGTGTATTACAGTTATAACATTTGCGACATTAAGTTTGTGACAGTCTAGATTTCTCTATTGGAGAACCCAACATACAGGAAGAGGCTTACTCATTTCTTGTTTAGCATCAGGTTGCTAGATTAGTATGACTTATATTTGTTTGCTCCAGTAAAATGTTTGATTTTAAAGTAATGGTATAAAACAGTGTATTTGTGTGACCATCCAGTGCATTGTAACTATCTTTTAAATGTCTAGTGTATTGTGACCATCTTTCAAACTGAAAAAAAAGAACTATTATCAAGGGGAACTTTGGATTATTTTGTGCTAATATCTGATGAAATTTGATAAATAGTGTTTGTATAACAAAATGGCTGGCGAGAAACGGCATGGAATTAATAATGATCATTTCTTGATACGATCGAATTGATTTTTAAGTGAGTAAATACTTTTATTAATTGAGTAAATTGTATTATCGAGTTTCTCGGAAATTGGGGCAATTATGAAACATAATTAAAATGATAGAGTGTGCATAATCTACTTTGTAATGTGAATAAAAGTAATTTTGTGATTAAGATGTTTCTGTAATTTATTAACCTGCTTGTACTGATTTGATAATTGGAATATAGTGCGCAACATTCTTTAAATATTTCTTTGTTTGAACTCTAACTAACTAGTAGATGTTATAATGACTTTGAAAATGAACTAACTCAACTGTTTTTTTGTCTAAATAAGCTATAAACTATACTACTGCTAATTTGTACTGATTTGTAGTCGACTAAGAGTGTATTGGTAAGGATTAAAAGTGATTGACTAAAATCATAAGCTCTAAAATTGCAAATCAAAAGATATGGAGCATTTCTCTGTCCCTCTTCTGGTATTCCGGGAAAACTACTGGTAATGCCCTTAAGATTAGGAGTGATAGAGTGGTCCAGAACTCCACGTTTAGGCTTAAGAGTGGACATATAGGGAGCGTTACATATACTGATGGACAGAAATCTTATCGTGTGTGCACGAAGTTCGCGTCAACACTGGCGTCCCAAAACATATCCTCTACTGTGTGGGGCTTTTGAGTGAGGACCATATAACTACTCATCTTCTTATAAATGACTTTATGAGGATTCACAAACCTCCTGGGCGAAGTTCAGCTTACAACTTGACCTTGGAATAAATTACGAACAAAAATTAGCAGTACGCCACACGCACTGCTAATTTTTGTTCGTAATTTATTGATGCCCTGAATATACTGTGCGCTAATTCCATTCTATCAAGCAGAGCTGACTTCACAGAAAAAATAAAATATTCCTAATTTCGTTGCTTTATAATTAATATTGCACTTTTAAGCGTCAAAACACCGACATTTTTAGTAGAATGAAGTTTTTTGATCAGATTTATAAAATACTTTACAATGCAACAAACGGAAGTGAACTAATTCATTGTTTGTCCGATGAGGGACCCTATTAGGTGCCTTAAATTTAAAAAATATCTAAGACACTTATGTGAAAAAAAATCAGTCAAAAATCGTAAGTTTGCCGTAGTGTTATAATTAGTTGCTTATAAAAATTTATCAAATAAAACTTACTAACAAGCAGGTCCACAATTCTTTTTCACACACTCATCGATTTTTGGTATGAATTCGGATGTATCAAACACTGACATACCATTCTCAGTTACATCTGAAATGAACATCAGTGTAAAAGATAATCATCATTTATATGATCATATATATCATATATAATCATAATGATATAT